GAAGAGAAGAGAAGAGAAGAGAAGAGAAGAGAAGAGAAGAGAAGAGAAAAGAAGAGAAGAGAAAAGGTAGGAAGAAAAAAGAAGACAAGAGAAAAGGATCCAGCCAGGAGCCCAAGAAGAGACCAGTGAGGCTGAGGAGAGCCAGAGAGTGGGTGCTGGGGGCCATCGACTGGCCATATGCTGCTGTGAGATCAATAAGACGAAGACCGAGAAATGATCATTAGATTGGACCACATGGTGGCTATTGGTGACCTTGACAAGAATGGATTCCATGGGGGGTTGGGGACAAAAACTTTGGTGTAGTAAATGCAAGCAGGAATGGAGACAAGGAAATGGAGACAGGGGAGCAGAGAAGTTGGGTGAGCTGAAAAGGAGTGTGGAGTCAAGAGAAACTCTGTGTTGTTTTGTTTTTTTAATAGGAGTTATTACAGCATGTTTGTACGCTGATAGAAATAATCCAGTAGAGATGAAAACCTGATGATGCAGGAGAGAGAGGAATAATTCCAGGAGCAAAGTCCCTGAGCAGGGAGTTAGGACCGGGCATCCAGTGCACAAGTCAGGGAGATACCAGGAGCGCTGACAGCACAACCACATCCATCCAGCAGGATGTATAAAGCTATAGGCAGAGGGACAGATTTAGTGGTTGGAGGGTATGGAAGTTCTCTTCTGCCTAGTCCTATTTTCTTCATGAAACAATGGTCAAGGACATCAACTGGAAGTGATGATTTGGAGGGTGGTGTTAGTTTGAAGAGAAGAGAAGGTAAATGGAAGGTTCAGTTGACTACAAGATTGTGGTAGCATTACTAGGAGGTTTTGAAGGCATGTTTGAGATCTGTGCTCTACGTGAAATCATGTCCCAAGTCAAAACTTTGATTGTGTTTTTCTCCTCTTTCCATGGTCTAGCCCCTGTCCAGGCACTGAGGGCTACATCTTATTGCAATTAGTTGGTACATTAACCCGTCACTTGGCAATTATTTTATTTATTCATTATGCATTAATGTACATCAACATTCATTCATTCAAGTATATTTATTGAGTGCCAGGCACCATTTTAGGTACTGGGATTATTGTGGTAAACAAACTAGGTCTCTGCCCTCAGGGAATTTATCTTCTACATCCTGAAAGACATGAGCCCTCATCTTTGGTAAACATAAGGAAAACCAGTTAGGAAGTAGATGTTTCCATATTTAACGACGCATAACAGGAGTTGCATAATTCCTTAGAAAAAAAGAATTCCTTGACAGATTGGGCCCAGAAAAGGAGTCAAAGAAATGCGGCCCCCACAGGGAGTGCATCTTCATTTCTTTCCCACTAGCACTCGGCTGGCTCAGTGGAATCCGACCGAGTGCAGCAGACAGGGGCGTAATCTGCTGGAATTTTTGTCTGTAGTGTCAGGGCATGGATTCATCATTATCTCCAGAAGAGCATGTCTTAATTAAACATCATAACAAAGCAGAGTCTGCTCCATCCAAATTCTCAGGACTGCATAAACCCTAGAATATACAACTTCCTTTGAACTTATGAATACGTCCGAAAGACAAACAGAGCCTACACTAAAAAGGGCTTATTAATTGACTAAGCCTCCTCATTTCATCTCCCTTCCTTTCTTTCTGACCTGTTTTGGTCTTTTATTTTTTATTTCCTTCCTCTTTTCTCATTAATTTTCATTTGCTTTCCATTTTTAAATAAAACAAAGTTTTCTGGAACCACTGGCTCAGGAAACCCCCATCTAATTGGCAGTGGTCCCTGGGACTCTGCTTTAATTTAAAGCAGGGTTTTCTTCTGAGCTTGGGCATGTATATATGTGGGATCATGGACTGTGAGCTGACTCTGGGGAGAGATGTGGGTCCTTTGTTAGTGACCTCAGACTTCACAACTCTGTTACAAAGAACAAGAATAAGGCTCTGCCTATTGGAATCCAGAAAAAAAAATCAGGAATGGAGTGGATGACCCCTGTGCTCTATTACTTTGCGTTAACAGACACTAACAAGTGTTGTTCGGAAAAGGGAATATTGGAACATAACTGTTTTGGAAGTCCCCATGCCATATCCCATTTGTACAGTAGGTGTCAGCCACACACAGCCTTTCTCTTCCTAAATCCATATTTGTAAGAAAACGACTCTTTCACCCACCGTTTCCCTGGTTAAAGAGATCAATTTCTTCATATCTTAAACACCCAAAACAATTGAAACAGTTGCTCAGATATTGGAATCAGAGTTGTACTAAGTACCTGGGATGTGGCCACGCTGAGAACTGTGTGAAGGAGTTGACAAAATCACGGAGGCATGGCCATGATCCAAAGTCCCGTTTCCCTCAGGTGAAAGAAAGTCAAGGCTTTGACCAGTAGCTACAGCGTCCTGGTAAGTGATGAGTGTAAGCCATCAATCTCCCACTTGCCTTTGACTAGATTAAGGGTCTTTGATCTCAGGTAAAACACTTCTTTGAGCCTCAGCTTCCTAATCTTTAGAATCTTTAAAATAACTGCCTTGTCTACCTAAGATACTTAATCAGGAGAGAAAAAATTGAGATATTGTTCATGAAACTGTAGTCTGTAAAGCACTATTTAAATGTAAAGAGTAGAATAAAAATATAAAAGCAAATGTAGAATAGAGTTATGAATAAAAAGAATTCATTAAAAGGTGCTCAAAATTTAATGAACTTCAGTTAATAATTTTCTGCAGATTTTTCTCAACATATTACACCAAGACTTTTCTTTCTTTCCTGTGTTAAATGTTAGTCCTGTCAAATTTTGACACACCTTCGAGTTTATATCAAAAAGATCCCAACCTAAAAAGAGGCACTTAATATGAATACTAGTCCCTTTGAAGGAAGGGAGATTCCTTTCCTAGCTTTTACATTGCACCACTAATAGACAGTCATAAGCCACTAGTAAATTCCAAGTGCTAAAGAAACAGAAATTTTAATCTTCAACCACCCTTCCTTTCCAATTTTGCACACTTAATACCACTGTATCTCAAGAATGTATTTGATCCCATAAACCCCACTTTGCTTGTTAGTTTATAAATTGAGAGGGCTAAAGCTTACCATATTGTTGTCAGTTTGCACTGGTTTTTGTCAAGAGACCTCAAATTCATCATATGCATGTTTTATCCCATGTTAAGTCTGCATTATTTAAATTAGAAGTACAAAACATTTCTGAAAGAACTCACATTTGAGAAGCAGAAAGATTATGTGTTTTATACTTTAATGTCGAAATGTGAGCAGAAGTCTTCAAATCAGAATGTTTAAAAAGGAATCCATCACGTTTTTCCCTGCATGCTTAATAAGGTTGTCAGGAAAGGCCAGAGGCGATTAAAAAATTTTTCATTTCCCATGACTCATCTCCTCCTGTGGAGTTTTGGGCTATATATTCCCCGCCTTGTCTGTTCTTTTTGTTGAAAATCCTTTATACTCTACCCCAACTTTTTTTTTTTTCTGCTGAGGCTTTCAATTTGCTATATCTTGAACTAGCAGAGGGAGAAGGAGAAGAGGTTGAACTTTCAACCTTTGAAACCTCTTAATACTTGCTGAGTGATCAAGCGGCAGACTCGAAAAAAAGGCTGCTGATCAGACTTTACCCCATTTGGAAAAGTCTTTGCTACAATAGCTCTACCAACCTCATCTTAAGGAATTAAGTATTTGTTTTCCTTAAAACCCAAAATCTTTTGGAACATTTTTCAGAAAGCGAGGCCAAATTTCTGTAGTTAGTGGTCAGGATATATAATATATTAAATAATATTTAAAATATTGTTGTCTGCTGTATTGCTTCCTGCTGTTTTTTCAAAGTACTTAACAATTGTAGATAGACTCATTTCTTTTACCTTAAGGCAGCATTTTCTTTTTTTGTTTTTTGTGGGGGTTTTTTGTTTTGTTTTTGAGACAGAGTCTCACTCTGCTGCCCAGGCTAGAGTGCCCGTTGGCATCAGCCCAGCTCACAGCAACCTCAAACTCCTGGGCTCAAGTGATCCTTCTGCCTCAGCCTCCCGAGTAGCTGGGACTACAGGCACGCACCACCGTATCCGGCTAAATTTTATGTACATATTTTTAGTTGTCTGGCTAATTTCTATTTTTTTTTAGTAGAGACGGGGTCTCGCTCTTGCTCAGGCTGGTCTCGAACTCCTGAGCTCAAGCCATCCTCCCGCCTCGGCCTCCCAGAGTGCTAGAATTACAGGCGTGAGCCACCGCGCCCGGCCAAGGCAGCATTTTCTAAGTGAAATAATCCAAGGAAGCAGTGGGACAATATCAATATGGTAATAAGTTAGTTAATCTCTTAACATCAACAAGTCTGATGGTCATTGAGGTGCTGATAATTCCCCTAATGTTATTGCTTTTCAAATAACTTATAGATGCAAAAATATTAGAAACTATGGGAGCAGGGTTTGAGTCATTTCTTTTGTGTTTCAAGCAACCCGAAATATGAGCTGTGAACAACCAGGCTACCACCTCTTCCTGGTGATTTTGTTTCCTCTGTACTCTTCATAGCTCACAATTACACTAAATGAACCTCTCTTCCATTATTCTTGATTCCTTCCATTCCCCTCCCCCACCCGCAGGTTCCTCCTACTTTCAAGAAACTTGAGGATGATGTCCTACAAACTTCTCTCCTGTATCCTCAAATGATCCAGACCTAAATATTTTAATACATTGGCCAGTTTATTTCTGATGGCATTAAAAGCGTCTGCACAACTGTTTCCTTATTTATAAAGCTCACAAATGCTGTATGACCTGTAACGTTATACTAGCTAATGAGCTCTCCCGGAACAGTTGACGTGGAAGGATTTTACTTCCACTTGGTTACAAGGAGAAAGATGGAGAAAATGAGAGGCGATTACAAAGAGAAATAATTTAGTCCATTTTCTCCGTGATCTCTGGGGGCTATGTGCTAATATTTAAATTGAAGAGGAGGGAGGAGACACGACAGAGGATAGAGAGGAACCGAGGAGGTGGGGGCGGAGCCTCGTTCAGCAAATAAAACCCCTCGCTAAAAGGGAATCACGTTCGTGTGTGGAGAAACCACTCTGCTGTAACCCAGAGAGATGGGGCAATCTGTGCCGTAGGACGGAGATCGGAAGAAGGAAAACAAGGGCAAGAAGATCAGCGAGAAAAGAGGACATCTGGAAAAAGCGGAAGCAGAAGACCGGGCAGGGAAAAGAACCCCATAGCAGGTGGAAACCAGATTTAGGGCAAAACGGCCAGATCCACAGTTTTCTGGTTTTTGTTTTTCTGCAAGGGAAGAAAGTACCAGAAGATTGCCTCTTTTTTTTTTTTTCTCCCTTCTACAGTTAATGAAAACTACTTTTGTCCTCATCATAAAAGAAAAGACTAAGGGGAGGTAAAGGTAGTCTCTGTTTTATTAGGAGGAGGGCTGAAGGGAAATCCAGACTCTGTTTTTGAAGCGTCTGAGTGAGATAAGCCACTGCCTGGTACACAGAGTAGACCATCCTGCTTTCTGAAGATACATCCCTCTCAGCAGAATTCCAGCCGGAGTCGCTGGTACAGTTCTATTTTTATATTTAAATATACCTGTCTTCCCCCCACCAAACCCACCCCTTTTAGCAACACTTCCCTTTTTTTTAAACAGGAGTGACGAGAAAGCGTCAATCCAGAGTAGGGATATTTTTCTTTTTCTCTTTTATCTGCTTGTCCTTCTCAGAGGGTAGGAGTGGTCCCTGTTTCGGGAAAGGACGTTTTAATTTAAAGGCTCCCTCTCCATATATTTACACACATACGCATTTAGAAAGAGAGACGGCTTTTGGAGGTTGAAATCCTACTGAGAAAAATGGAAAAAGGAGCCAGGCACCGAAACAACACTGAAAAGAACCACCCAGGTGGGGGCGAGTCGGACGCCAGCCCCGAGACTGGTTCCGGAGGGGGCGGAGTAGCCCTGAAGAAAGAAATCGGATTGGTCAGTGCTTGTGGTATCATTGTAGGTGAGTTCGATTCCTCTTCCCACCGACCACTCACTCCTCTCCCTCTCTGGTGGTCCTCTTGTTGGACCTTAACCCTTCGAAAGCACTCCTTAGAAATGGGTTGTCAGTCACCTGTGCTACAGTCTACCTCCACGGGTCGCGTTTGAGTGGTGTAGGAAGTGATATATGTCATACATCTCTTTCTCCGAACCAGGCAAACAGTTCTGTTCTGTGTTCACAGAATGGTGCAAGTAGGGGCCGCAAACCTGGCTGATTGGATCAGAAACTTGAAGTTTCTGACTCAATAGGTTTAAGGTGGGCTGAGGGACTTGAATTTTTAACAAGCTTTTATGCAGCCACCCTCACCAGGCTGTGCACTGGCTTTGAGACATATTTGGTAGGTATTTTGCTGTTTTATGTTTTATGAGACTATGGGATATGTAATAAATATAGCGATAACAGCAACAACGATGCCTTTTCATAGCGTTTTCCTTCTTATGCAGCATTCCCATTGTGTGGAAGAGATGTGAGAGGGCTGTTATTCCCATATCACAGATGAGGAAATTATGGAAGAAAACAGGGACAGCCTGTGCCTTTCTGTAAATGAACAGCTTATAGTTTCTCTAGTTGCCTGGTGGAATTCACCTGTCTCTTAACACCCACAGCAGACCCTGTGAGGGTCTCAAAGAGTGTTGGCAGTAACTAGAATGTGGAGTTGAGGAGGAACCAACAGTGAAATGTGTGTCCCAGCTGGGAGGCTCTGAAGGTAGGGAGACTGGTTGGCCCTGAGAGTGCCAGTGCGGGCCACTTTGACACCCCCCCCAACACACACACACACTGCACTCTACAGGGCAGGGGGTCCCAAATACACCTTTGTCTCTGAACAATATATCCTCCTCTTTCCAGAGAAGCCCTGGAGATTGATGGCAGGCAGTGGCTCATTCCTGCCCTCACTTAGGAGGGTGGTAGTTTCTTCTGCTATCTTTGGTAGAGGGCTTTACCTTCTTCCCAGAGAAAGGGGTGCAGGACTGTCAGGCCCATGTATGTTTCTATGTCGTCTCTCCAGAGTTACTTTGTGAAGGCTTATTGTGTCCTGGTGCCCATGAACCAGTTTCTCTGGATGACACCATGTTCCGTGCAGTAGCTAGAGACATTTTGGCACCTGACAGCGAGAGTGACACTGGAGAACACCCTTGAAATCAAATAAAATCAGTACAGAATTCAGATAATCCTCTTCACTTTTACACCTAGACTTCGGTGATCATATTATATCCAATCTCTTTTGAAAATGGAATCCCATTTTATCTAATTCTCTGACTCTGGGAGGTTTTCAGGCATCTATAGTTATAAGAAGGATAATGGTATAAAAAATTATAGTCATGATCTGAATCTGTGATTACTCTTTCTCATTATATTTTCTTTTTTTTTTATTTTAGTCTTGCTGAATTAAACAAAACCTTTTCCTCTTCGCCTCTCCTTTACTTTATCTTAGTTGCTCTAAAAAATGAGTTCAGCCAAGTATCCAATGTATATAGCACATGTCATTTTAAAGTCTATAAATAGCCCAGAGCCTGTTACCTCTTCAACAGTTTGATAGACTTAAGCATTTTCCTCCCTTTGGGAAGGTTCTGATTTATACACAGATATGCATGCCCACGTGCACACAAGCACAAACTTCCTTCTTCCTGCCTCAGCTGTGTCACCAGTCCCAACATATGTGCAGATATTCAAGGGTAGAGGGTATTTCCCTACATACTGAAGTTTTTGTCTCTTTAACATTTTTTTCTAAGACTATGAAGAAATGGGGTGTTCAGGTATAGTAAGTACAATTTCAGTGGGTTGAATGTTACTACTGATTTGTCTATGGCCTCATGGATTGTACTTCAATGTGAGAATTGTCCCCAAACTCCCCATGGTGGCATTACAGTAACAAGAACAGCAACTCTGGTGTTCTGTGGTGAAAAAGATTCCAAATATGTGATTTCATAGAAATCAGGATATTTTTCCAAAGTGTGAGAATACTTACAGGGTTAATAGGCACTATTCTACCTCCCTTCAAGCTAGGATGAGACAAATTTCCCTTTTAGGGTGATGTGCGGGCAAAATCCTTTCTGCTTTCCCTCCTTCGTGGCTATGGAGTTGCAGATATGCTGAGGAACTGCCCTGTCCTCTTCTAGAGGAGTTTCCAAATGGATGATAGTGATTCAAGTTTTTTTGAGACAAAATACAAAAATAGAAATGGCGTTTTCCATGCAGAATTCAGTGATTTGGTGTTCATATCCATCCATCCATCTCACACCCAACTGACTTAGATAAATTAAACTACGTGTTTCATATAAGCTCATAAATTTCATTCATAATCATCATGGATGATTGAAAGTAGGAATAACAGAATGGCAGGTATTATGGGAATATAGAAGACTCATGCCATAGAGTTACTTATAATCTGATTGGGAAGATGAGACTCATAGTCATTAAACAGAAAGCATTGAAAATTAATGATATGGTTTAGTGGTGTAAGAGCTGAAGGAGGGAAAATTTAGGTGAACGGTGGGAAGCAGAAGGAAGAAAGGGTCTCACCAAGAACTAGATTAAGAAGCATCTTAGCCAGGTGCAGTGGCTCACTCCTGTAACCCAGCACTTTGGGAGGCCAAGGTGGGAGGATAGCTTGAAGCCAGGAGTTAAAGAACCAGACAATATAGCAAGACTCCCTTCTCTACAAAAAATTAAAAAATAAATAAATCAGCTGGATATGGTGGTGTGTGCCTGTAGTCCCAGCTACTCAGGAGGCTGAAGAAGGAGGATCACTTGAGCCCAGGAGTTTGAGGTTGCAGTGAGCTAGGATGACTCCACTACAGTCCAGCCCCAGCGACAGAGTAAGAGACACTGTCTCAAAAAAAAGAAGCATCTTGATGGTGGGGAAAGGTATAGGGAAGAAAATTCTGGAAGATTTTATAGGTAAAAGCACGATGACTAAATTATCTTTTTGATCAAAAGTTGTGTCTTACATATGTCTGAATCTTTAGTGCTTAGCAGAATACTTGATACAGAACAATTACTCAAGTAATCATTGAATTTCATTGACTCTTGGACAAAAATCTGAAGACAGTGGCAATAAGAAGCATTTATGTGAAGGGCTGTTGGGAACCTGGCTTGAAAATGTTGAAGCTAGGAATAATTTCATCAACCTGGACAATTAGGTTGGCCCATTTTAGTTTTTTTTTAAATCACCCTTGCCCTAACCTGACCAGGCTTTTGCTCTCCATGTACTTGGGTAAGGAAACCTGATGGCAGTAGGTGAACTTAGATTCCACCATGAATTTGGAGTCCCCCCTAAAATCTGAAGAGAGTGTGGAGGACAGCAAAATTCATCCGCTTAGTGGTACCAAAGCTACTGCTAGTTGTTATTATTAAACACTTACCAATTACCTAACATACATTAACTTATTTGTGCCTCACAATAGCCCCTGTTTGGTAGGCCCTATTATCTCTTCCCCCAGATAAGGAAATAGAGGCTCAGAGGGATAAGCAACTTGCCAAAGGTCATACAACTAAAAAGTACTGGAGCTAGTATTCAAACCCAGATCTTATCTGACTCTGAATCAAGCTCTCAAGCATTATTCTCTACTATTTCTATTTTTATCTCCTAAAGGGGTATTTTCCTTTAGAACCTGGACAGGGGTCCTTATTGGTTTTTATAGATGAAGCAATTAATGTTGCGTTCCCAGTGAGGAAGGTTCCCAGTGTCAGGGGGAGCTGGGCAGTCAGCTGGGAATGGAAGAAAGGAATGTTCCTGGTGCAACTGCAGGAAGACTCGGGGTGAGCCTGAGATGCATCTGGCCAACACAGACCACATTCCCATTAACTCCCACACATGTGCACCTTTCCTTTACGGGCCAGCGTTCTTCCCAGTCATGTTAGAGATACCCACAGGGTACCTAGCTGTTTAGGTAGCTTTATACCAGTCATGTGTTTAGGTATGTAACCAGAATCTACGTCTTGAAGGCAAACAAGCTGGCTTCAGAGCCTAAAAGAAAAGTTTAAGTTGGGCACAGTGGCTTACAACTGTAATCCAGCACTTTGGGAGGCTGAGGCAGGAGGGTAGCTTGAGGCTAGGAGTTTGAGACCAGCCTGGGCAATATAGCAAGACCCTATCTCTACAAAAAAATAAAAAAAATAAATCAGCCAAATGTGGTGGCATGCACCTATAGCCCTAGCTACTCAGGAGGCTAAGGCAGAAGGATCACTTGAGCCCAGGAATTCAAGGTTACAATGAACTTTGATTAGGCCACTGCACTCCAGCCTGGGCAACAGAGTGGGACTTTGTCTCTGAAAAAATAAGAAAGACCGTGGCACTCTAGCTAGCCTGGGCACCAGAGTGAGACTCTGTCTCAAAAAAAAATAAGAAAGAAAAGTTTATAATTTTTCAGACCGTTTTGTTTTCAGCACAATGTACGTTTATGGGGGAACTTGGTATGTTTACTGTAGGACAACACTGGCTGTAAGTCTAGCTACTAGACCACTATCTCTCAACTAACACAGATTTTTTAAAAATAATATTTATTGAGCTCTTACTAAATGCCTGTTCCTGTTCTATATACTCTTTACATATTTAATCCTGACAACAATTCTATAAAAGTAGATATTATAATTATCTCTATTTTAAATGTGGGGAAATTGAGTCACAGAGCTGGTAGGTAATTTTTCCAGAATCACACAATTGATAACTGAGATGATCTGACTCCATAGCCAAAATGCTTAACGATTCCACATTTCTAATTGGTAACCAAGAGAGGACAGAGGAAGGTTGATGTATATGTGAGAATCTCGAGGTCATGGAGGAAGAAAACCCTGAGATCAGAGTCTAGAAAGACAGTGGATGTCTGCTACGGAAAAAGTTGGTAAAAAACGTTTTTTAAAGGATATTTGTCAACAGAGAAATGTGGCTATAGGAATAACTGTACCAAAATGGCACTGGGCTGATTTAGGAATATTTCCAATCCAAAAGATTTCAGACCCAT